CCGCGTTGTTTCCTGGGTGCGGGAGGGTGTGGGGAGGGGGTGGCTTCCCTCCCTCCGTCCCGGGAGAGAGCGAGCCGGGCTGTTTCCTTCCCCCTCAGGAGGCGGCTGGACTACGTGAACCATGCCAGGAGGCTGGCAGAGGACGACTGGGCAGGGGCGGAGAGCGAGGGCGAGGAGAAGGAGGGGGAGGATGCGGAGGAAGAGGAGATGGACGTGGATCCTGGCAAGAAGTTGCCCAAGCGCTACGCCAACCAGGTGAGGAGCTGCCCGCCTCTGCCGGCCCCACCGGGCAAGGCCAGGGTGAGGGGCATGGTGTGGTGAGGCTGGGCATGAGGTGATGAGGCTGGGCATGGTGAGCAGCCACGGTGGCAGCCGTCTCTGGGCTGAGCAGAACATGGCCTGCCTGGTTTGGTGTTCGGCGAGGAGCTGTACCTCGGTTCTCCTGCCCCTGAGACGTGCTGTGTTCAAGGGGTGGACAGGTGGAGATGGATTGCCTGTGTGCTTGGAGGGGTTTCAGCTCAGCTAGCAGCGTTTGTATCCTGTTATGCAACTCAGTAACTCAATTACTAAGATCTCTTGTCTCTCCTCATGTCTGGAACGCTGAGAAGGAAGGGGAAGCTCAGCTGGTGGGTTTTATCAGCCTTGGTGCCATATTGGTCCTAAACGACATACAGCCATTCAGGTGATCGCAGCCAGACACACTCTAAAGAGGTCCACTTGTCTGGGCGCTTTACTCCTGGTATTGAGGAATCTCTGGGCTCTGCCCTGTTTTTTATAAGTAAATGAATTAAAGTGTTGGAGTGGGGACCAAGGTACCCAGGTGAGGACTGTGAGCCCCGTGCTGTGGTCTGAAGCTTAGTCAGCAGCTGGGAAGCAAGAGAAGGACTTGGGGGAGAGTCTGTTATGCGGGTGGGTTGGAGGGAGGGAGCCAGGCCCCTTTGGTGCCGCACTGTAGGGTGACAAGTGATGCGAGTTGCCTCTGAAGTGCCCAGTCTAGCTGTAAAAAACAAGTTGAAACCTTCTTTATCCTTGAGCTGTGAGTTCTCCCTAACTTTAGGAGAGTTGAGTTGTTGCTTTTTTTTTTTTTTTTTTTTTTTCTCTATTTCTCCATAGCTGATGCTGTCTGAATGGTTGGTTGATGTCCCCTTGGATCTGGAGCAGGAGTGGGTCGTAGTGGTGTGTCCCGTCGGGAAAAGGGCGCTAGTTGTGGCATCCAGGGTAAGTTGCAGAAGTGGTGATGCCTCACCATCAGGTAAACCACCTGTACGTGTTTCCCAACCAACATAAGACTGGCCCGTGTGTCTTACTTGGCTTATTTTTCCTCTCTTGTTTCCTCGCAGGGCACAACAGCAGCTTACACCAAGAGCGGCTTCTGTGTCAACAGGTTCCCATCCTTGCTGCCAGGGGGCAACCGGCACAATTCAACGAATGAGAAAGGTAACGGACTGAGGAGGCTTTTGGGATAGAGAGAGAGGGGAACCGCCTGCTTCTCCCTGTGAGTTTGTGCACCAGCAGGCTCGGTGCTGCTTCTTCAGCTCCCCCGAGCCCCGGAGCTCTGCCCTTTTCTGGTGCTGGGAGTGGTTAGCTTCAGGCCTGCTCACGTATCTCTGGGGATAACTAGACCTGGACAATATGAGATACCTTTATGCTAGGTGAGAACATCTTTTAATCACATGCTTGGTTAGCTGGCACTCTTAAACCTCAGCATCCTCTCTGACAGAGCGCTGTGTATGGTATGGTCTTTCTTAATACCTCTTGCAGTCGCTTTCTTGCGCTGAGGAGGGGTTACTGTTTGAGAAATGCCATCTTCTGAAACAAGCCTTCGCTTGCTCTGCCTCTGACCGCTATCTTTGTAGTCTCGTTGGACTCCTCAAGCTAAAGGCTTTCTGTGATAGCAGTGTCTGTTAGCAGAAGGGGATCCCTTTGCACCTCTCGGCCTTACGTCAGGGCAGGCTTAATGCAGGAGAGATTGGATCTGGCAATTACCTCTTGGGTCGGGCAGTCCCTGGAGCACGTCTGGACCTCCCTGTGTTTGTGTGCGCAGTGTACTGCATCTTGGACTGCATCTACAACGAGGCAAAGCAGACGTACTATATCCTCGATGTGATGTGCTGGAGAGGACACCCCGTTTATGACTGCCAGGTACTGAATCTCCACCCTCTTTCCTGCCCTCTTTTTATTCCTTGTTTTGTGAACTGCTTTGCTGCCAGCACTGGACACAGCCCCTCATGCAGTAGGATGGGTATTACATCTAAGCACCAGCATCTTTACAGCTCGTGGGCTGCTGGCTACTGGAACAACTGGGTGTATCTTTTGGGGGTGTCAGGGGAAGTAGCAGAGTTTGGGGTGCTCACTGATTCTGCCGATGAAGCTGTTTGTAAATCTCCCAGGCGACGGCAGAGGAATGGAGACGCTCGGCAGGTGCTGATTGGTGATGTGTGGTGAATAGTCACCGAGTCTCTGTCTCCTTTCACAGACCGACTTCAGATTCTTCTGGCTGCTCTCAAAGATCCAAGAGGAGGACGGACTGGGAGAGAAAAGCAGGATTAATCCAGTAAGTTCTTTTGTACTGGGAGGAGAAGGAGGATGAGGGGTAAGCTCTCCTTCAGCACTTTCTTTCACAGACAGAAGCTTTTTTCTTTTTTTTTCGCCTCACAGATCAGCCTTCAAAAGATACTTCTAACGAAATGGGATGCCGTGTTCAGGATGTAAATAGAACCACTGAGTATTGTAAATGAGCGTGGTGGGTTTTTTTTTTCCTAGCCAAAGTGCTGAGGGAGATCAGACTGCAGGGTATTGGCTAACTTCCCTGCCATTTTTAGCTTTCCCTTGAAACAGAATGGAAAACCAGTGTGGTTTCTACAGGGGCAGTGTTGGTCGGCAGCCTGACTACAATGGGATTTATTCTTGCGTAGTCCTGTGGGCTCGCAAGGCAAGGGGGAGGGCTCGTAAAGCTCTAGCCTTCCCTCCTGCGTAAACTAATCATTGAAGTTCTCGGGATGGATGCCGAATTGCCACCTGGAGTCCCTGCTGAGCAAGGATAAAAAGCCTTCCTTTGAAGACTTAACGCACGGAGGTCAGACCTAGAACCCACAGCAGCTTGGGAATTGATTCCTGGGGACAGATCATAGAACCATAGAATGGTT